ATCTCGGCTCACTGCAAGCTCCGCCTCCTGGGTTCACGCCATTCTCCAGCCTCAGCCTCTCAAGTAGCTGGGACTACAGGTGCACGCTGCCACGCCTGGCTAATTTTTTGTATTTTTAGTAGAGATGGGGTTTCACTGTGTTAGCCAGGATTGTTTCAATCTCTTGACCTTGTGATCCGCCTGCCTCGGCCTCCCAAAGTGCTGGGATTACAGGCGTGAACCCCTGCACCCGGCCTAGTCATTTCTTATTTTACTACTTTATTTGTTCATTGTCTTTTTTAGTTCCCCCTCAAAAGTAGTTTTTGGGGGAAAAAATATTGAAGCCTCCAGAGGCTTTCTCAGAGGAAGTGGAGTTTTTTTTTATTCTATATTTTAGGACAGATAGGGAGATGAAGGTAGAATAGAAATAAGTGCCTGTTAAGCTAGGATATATAAAGATGTGAAAATGAATAACCAGGAAAGCAGAGGATGAGGGGAAAGTGTGTGTTAAATTTCTCTGTGCCTAGAGTGTTTTCTTATGGAGGAAATACATTTGGATATAATCGAACTTGTTAGTGTTACTAGATTTATCTATAGATGGTCACTCTGTGCTGTAACCTCTTTTTCTATAGATTGAAGAATGTGTGGTGTGCTCTGACAAGAAAGCAGCTGTTCTTTTTCAACCCTGCGGCCACATGTGTGCTTGTGAGAGTAAGTAGCTTATACAGAGTTCCTCAATATTATTACAAAAATAGAAAGTGAAACAAAATTATGGTTTTGAGGGTTTTTTTGCTTTTGCTTTTGGATAACTCATAAAAAAGTTGATGGGCCCCGAGTACCTTCTATTTCTTTCTCCATACTAGAATGTCAGCTGTTTCCCTCCATGCGTCTGAGCATTAGGGAAGACTGAATATGCTGTGTTTTATTTCAGTTGTATTAGCACAAAAGGGTCTCTTTCCACACATAATAGAAATTTATTTTGAAAAATAAATATTAAAACATTTAGTCTAGCCTTTGTTCACATAGAAAATTAGCATGTCTTCATTTGTCTTCACCTTAATATTGCCTCTCCTGTGTACTTTCCTCACTGCAGAAGAATCAACAGCAACCGTTTCTGGGGCTGTAATTTCTGGCCTTCTGTAAACTTTTATGCCAAGAGAGCTTTTAGAAATCTTTTCTGTGTGAGGATAGTATTAAAATTTAAAAGATGTTTTAAAGTTTCTTTTAAATATATTGTCTTGAAGGCCTTTGCCCTTGTTCTTTTCAAGTTCATACACTGTTAAATATTCTCTTCCCTTTGCTTTTCTTCATTTTGTCAGTAAAGGATTTTATTTTATTTTATTTTTTATTTTTGGCAGAGTCTCGCTCTGTCACCCAGGCTGGAGTACAGTGACACAATCTCAGCTCACTGCAACCTCTGCCTTCCCAATTCAAGCGATTCTCGTGTCCTCAGCCTGGGCAACAGACTGAGACTGTCTCAAAAAATAAAAAAAAAAATTAAAAAAAAAAATTGCAATAGGCAGCTGGTCAACTGAAGAAAGGGTGAAGGTTTTGTTTTGTAACATTTTGCCTAAAGTGACTGTTTTTGTTTACAAAAGAGTGGTATAATGGCTATTACCCAATACTATCAAAAGGGCACATAAAGAATTCTCTGTCTTAAGTAAAAAGGACTCAGGTTAAGTTTTCATAGGCCAGAGGTTGGCAGACATTTTTTGTAAAGGGTGAAATAGTAAATATTTTTGGCTTTGTAGGCCACATGGTTTCTGTAGTAACCACTCAACTCTTTCCCACTGCTCTACTCTGCACTGTGGTGCAAAAACAACCATGGAAAATATGTAAATAAATGGGCCTGACTGTGTTCAATGAAACTGGTTTTATAAAAGCAGATGACAGGTCAGATCTGGCCCTCAGGTGTAGTTTGCTGACATCTATCATTCACCAAAGTGATACCTACATGAGACTTGAAAGATGATTATAATTATTAGTTGATAACACAGATTCTAGAGCCTTAATATAATATTTCCCCCCAGGAGCTTCCAGAATTTTTGCCATGGCCTTTGTTCCTTTTTAAAATTTTTTAAAATTAAATTAAATTTTTTTTTTTTATTTAAAAAGCTTCAGCTTTAAATTTAGCCTTCTGACTCTGGGCTTGTGCCTTCAACATTTTCACAATGACATTCTGCTCTTCGAAAGGAAAGCATTCTTGATCCTGTCATGGGTACATTTAGCAGTCATGGAAACACTATCGGCCGTGCTGACAGTTTTTAAAATTTTAGACAACCTTATAAGAACTTTAGGTCTCACAGCATGAATCCCTTGAAGTCTGCCTGAGCACACGCCACATGCAGACATTGGTGCTTTCCCTACCTTCTTGATAAAAAGTTAACAATACCAGGGTTTGGGACAGCCTAGTTTTGTTAAATGCTGTGTTGTAGGAAAGCCTATGATGGTGTGTCAAAACTAGATCATGCTGAGTGCCTCTAGATAGCATCCCTGGAAGAGGAAAAACAGTCTTTGCTTTAAAATGTATTTAATGACAAGAGCAACAACCAACTTTTATTGAGCTCTTAACTCTGTACCAGGCATTTTAATCTCTTTTTGAGTATTTCCTCATTTATTTTCAGAACAATCCCAAGAAGTAGATGGTTTTCTCTATTTTATAGACATGCTCTTAAACATTTATTTGCTAAGGGAGATGAAACTGAGGTGGAATATATTCCTTTCCCAAGGAGTATACGGTAACGTAATTAGTGCAGTACTGCCATCACAGTCAGGTTAGGCGGTGAAAGTGCTTTGGCATGCCAAAGGAAGGAGAGATTACATCCCTTTTGGAGGTGCTGAAGAAAGATTAGAAACAATATAGATAGAAACAATACAAACAGAGAAGATAGAAGCAAAGATAGAAACAATACAATAACTAAACAGTTAATTTTAGATAATTGTGTTTATATATTATATATTTAGTCAATTAGTCCTTATGTTGAAGAAAAAAATCTGCCTTCAAATTGAAGACAAATCCCAAACCAGATTTCCACTTAGCGTTAGCTCCTACCTAGTGCATCATGTATAACCAAGCGTCAGACCCATTTATGTTTAGGTTTTGGCATGAGGTCAGCCTTGGTAACTAACTGTTCTCCATCCGTCAGTGTGCATAGTAAACTGTTAGGAATGTAGGCCCTACTCTGTCCACATCAGTGGTTTTGTGCTTTGTTCAAATCTAGTGGTTTGCCGTAACCTGGATATTCTGCCATGGTTTCCATTATTTTTCCCATTTTTGAAATGACAAGACACTTGATATGTAGGCTAAGATATGGAATACATTTTCATAATAAATGTTAACGAGAAAGAATATGTTGAATTGCTGTGTGTTATTTTATAATTAATTAACAAGTTTAGATGTAAGGTAGTATTAACAATTCACAACATACAGTTGTGTCTAGATATTTCTTATTGGAATGGGAATGCATTCTTCTGAAATATTGTTTATAGCCTTTGCAAATCAAATATTAGAAAGATAATCTTTTATGAAAATTAAATTTTTTTCCTGAACTGCTATATTAAAAAAGCAATCAGTAAGCAATTTCCTTGTTACATTGCATCAATTTGGTAAGAGAAGGAAAGAATTGTTCAGTATATTTTAGCACTTTTAGAGAAAAGCCATTTACAATAGAAAATATTTTTAGAAAATTATCATGTTGGCGGGGTGGCGGGCAGGGTGGGAGAGAGCATTAGGACAAATAGCTAATGCCTTCAGGACCTAAAACCTAGGTGATGGATTGATAGGTGCAGCAAACCACCATGGCACACGTGTACCTGTATGCGTCCAACAAACCTGCAGTTCTGCACATGTATCCCAGAGCTTAAAGTAAAATAAAAATAAACAAATATAAAGAAAATTATCATGTAAGCAAGCTTATAATTCTAGTATTAGTTGACATTTGTCACTATTATCTCTCTCCTTTATTCTCAAGTCTTAAGATCTTGAAATATTTATTGTTTCACTTATTTCTTTAAAAAACAAATTTCACAGTTTATTCAGCTGTATTAGAAAATGTCATTGTTTTCATAATGGAGGGCTCTCTATTCTGGAGGCTACCGATGGAGAATACTCATTCTTAGGTTGATAACATTTTAAGGAGGTAGAATTGCATATTGATGTAACTTGCATAACATATATTTCAGTGTGAAGTTTAAGTCATAAAGATTAGCAGAGAAAGGCAACACTCTCATTAATGTTCTCTTTTGTAAGAAGTGTCTGTGTTACCATTTTCCAGACTGTGCTAACCTGATGAAAAAGTGTGTGCAGTGTCGAGCAGTAGTTGAACGAAGAGTGCCTTTCATTATGTGCTGTGGAGGGAAAAGTTCAGAAGATGCCACTGATGATATCTGTAAGTCAATTGTCTTAAGCATTTTCATATTTTGCTTTTTTTGGGGACTTGCACGAATACCTCTTCTCTTTCGTAATATACTACTGCCTTATAAAACCTAAGATGTCTGACTTGGATCCACAGTGGAGCAGGTATTGTTTTCTGGTGCTCTTGTTATATTACAAGAAACCTGAAATTCTATTTTTCTGTGATTATAGAACTGTAACATCAATCTTTTGAGAAACATGTATGCTATTAAGAATATTGTTGTGTTCTTGCATAAGGAAAATTTGTGCTCTATTTTAAGATGAAGTTTAGTGTGTTTTGTCCAGGGGCGGGGCACCATATTACAATTTATTTTTCAGTTTACTGAAAGTATTAACCTGCTTCCATTATGCAACAGGTTTGTTTACTTCGTTTAGGTTTTTTATGGAATGGTAATTATTTGGGGCAGAGTAATTATAGGCAAACAAAAATGTTAACAGTGAAAGGGTGGAAAAATGAAAAATAAATGATTTCCCCTCAACATTTTCAGTAGTACAGCTATTTCAAAGTATTTTTTCTCTTTGCACTAGATATTAGCTGAATGGTTTCTTTGATTTCATATTCTCTGAACATGTTTTATGAGCAGATGAGGAAGAGCATTAGTGTGTAGCAACTTCTGCGTGAGATTTTTGTCTTTATCACAAATAGAACAGAATAAAAATCTCAGGGACAGATTAACTAGAATAAAAGACCAAGGATCTAGAGAATAGGAAAAGTGAAATCAAAGATTTCCCTTCATGTTTGCGTACTGTGAATGATGGCCTTTCTTGACTTCCTCATCTCAAATCAGTAATAACAAGGAAGTTTAGTCATAAAGAAAGGAGACTAGATTTTTGTATGTCCTCATAAAAATCATCTAAGAGATTTTAATTATTGCTGCCAAAGCTGGCCAGAACTCTGCTGGTTACTTTATTGGTTCATATGGTACAGGAACAGAGGAAACAAGCATAGAATGTATTGGTGAGCTTGCCAAAGGAAGCATGTAGAGCCTTGGAAAACCCAGAAGTCTGTGTATGGATTGTGCTCTGGCTGAATTAAATATAATTGTAAATTAATGTGCGAACTATTTCTTTTTGGAGTTCATAAATGGAAGAGTGTAACAGAATGTCACTACTGTATCTGTTGTCCAAGAGTGAGAAAACTTTTTAAAGAGGATTGTAATAATAGTTTTATGTTTTTAATAAACAAAACAGTAATAATTTTATAAATACAATGTCATTCTGTCAAAGCAATAATAACTGAAAATCTTTTAAAATCTACATTACAGCAAGTGGGAATATTCCGGTGTTACAAAAGGACAAGGATAATACCAATGTCAATGCAGATGTGCAAAAGTTGCAGCAACAGTTACAAGACATTAAAGAGCAGGTAATAATGATTTCATGTAAACAGTGACGCTATGAATGGCACTGAATATTTTCCTGTAAAACTACTAGTGTTTCTGTAATACGTATGGTTTATATTAGTGTATCACTTGTATTATTTGAATATTTGCAATGATTAGAGGGTTTAATCGGCACTTTCCAAAACAGGTAACACACAAATGGCCAATGAACATGAAAAAATAGTCCAATCACATTAGTGATCAGGAAATGAAAACTAAAACCACAAGGAAGTTCTTTTTCATAACTGTTAGATTGAGGAAAATGTTAAAGACTGTCAGTATCAAGTGTTAGGCAGAATATGTAGCAGCCATAACTCATACACTGCTGGTGGGAATATGTATTAGTAGAAACACTTTGGAAGACAGTTTGTCATTATCTAATAAAATGGAACAGGTTATTGTTTAGGAATATAAACTTGGAAAAAACCCATACAGATGGTATTAAAAGTCGAAGGTAGTCCAGGCGCAGTGGTTCATGCCTGCAATCTCAGCACTTTGGGAGGCCAAAGTAGGAGGATTTCTTGAGCCCAGGAGTTCAAGAGCAGCCTAGGCAACACAGTGAGACCTCAACTCTACAAATAATAATAAAAAAAATTAGCTGGGTGTGGTGACCTCCCAACTACTTGGAGGCTGAGGTGGAAGGATCACTTGAACCTGGACAATCGAGGCTGTGGTGAGCTGTGATCGCACCACTGCACTCCAGCCTGGGTGACAGAATGAGATCCCGTCTCAAAAAAAAAAAAAAAAAAAAAAAAATTCAAGAATAGTGGTTTTCTTGGCAAGAGACGGCTGGAAGGGGCACAAGGGAAGAAGGGAAGTCTCTAGGTCTGAATGCTCTGTTTCTTGATCTGAGTACCAGATACATGAGCTTGATCAGTTTGTGAACTTGTATTAAACTGTACACTTATAAGTCATGAACATTTCTATATACGTGTGATACTTTAATAGAAAGGGGCCGACATGATGGCGCACGCCTGTAATCCCAGTACTTTGGGAGGCTGAGGCAGGCAGATCACCTGAGTTCAGGAGTTCAAGACCAACCTGGCCAACATGGCAAAACCCAGTCTCTACTAAAAATACAAAATTTAGCTGGGCGCGGTGGTGCGTACCTCTAGTCGCAGCCTACTCTGGTGGCTGAGTCAGGAGAGTCGCTTGAACCTGGGAGGTGGAGGTTGCAGTGAGCCAAGATCGTGCCACTGCACTCCAGCCTGGGTGACAGAGTGAGACTGTCTCAAAAAAAAAATAAATAAATAAAAATAAAGGAAAAATGTGTCTGTACACACATATACCATAAAGAAAAGCAGGGGAAAGATAATGCAAAATTCACCATAGTAGTCATCAGTGAGGGATACATGGAAAGGACTGGGGAGGATTTATAGAGGGGCTTCAAAAATAAGAGTAACATTCCATAGTTTAAACTGGGTGTTTGTTATGTTATTCTTTGTATCTTTTTTTCTTTTTTTTCTTAGAGTCTCACTCTGTCACCCAGGTTGGAGTGCAGTGGTGCAATCTTGGCTCACTGAAACCTCTGCCTCTCAGATTCAAGTGATTCTCATGCCTCAGCTTCCCAAGTAGCTGGGACTACAGGTGCACACCGCCACCCTCAGCGAATTTTTGTGTTTTTATTAGAGATAGGGTTTTGCCATGTTGTCCAGGCTGGTCTTGAACTCCTGGCCTCAAGTGATCTACCCACCTTCCCCTCCCAAAGTGCTGAGATTACAGGCGTGAGTCACCGTGCCTGGCTGTTCTTTACATCTTATATGTATCAACAAATGTACTCTTTTATATCTACCTAATATTTAATAAAAGCAACAATAAGATAAAAAAATTAGCAAAAACTTGTAGGTTTGTTATGTTAAGTAAGACAGCAAGTCTTTTTTCTTTTTGGCCATACCTTACCATTTGACCAAGTTACTAAATCTGATTTACAGGCTTGAGCAGTTCTTTATTTAGCCAGTCACGTCAGTATTGGCATTCAATTGTTAGAATCATCACTCCTGTGTTTTCTATCTGAATTTATAACATGGTCAGTAGTTAGCAGCCCAGGATAACTAATGACCCTTGTGATAAGTAATTAAGAATTGGTCAGTTGCAGTGATGTGTGCCTGTAATCCCAGCTGCTCAGCATGCTGAGGTGGGAGAATTGCTCGAGCCCAGGAGTTTGAGATCAGCCTGAGCAACATAACAAGACCCTGTCTCGACAAAAATTTTTAAAATAAATCAACAGGCTGTGATGACACATGCCTGGAGTCCCAGCTCCTCAGAAAACTGAGGCAGGAGGATGACTGGGGCCCAGGAGTTTGAGGCTGAAATGAGCTATGACTGTGCCACTGCACTCCAGTCCAGATGGCAGAGTGAGAAACCATCTCTTTGTGGGGGCTGGGGGGGAAATAATTGAATGTCTGAATGTATTAGGCATTTAAACCCCCATCTGAAGAGATGAAAACTCTGATTGGACCAGTTTTTCTTTTGAAATCCAGCATCTAGTGATACTTGTTAGAGAATGAATAAGTAAAGATCAATATGAATTTAAAGGTTCTTAATGTAATTTGGAACATATTTGGCTAGTTCTAATATAAAATAAAACATTTAATGTATCTAATACATCAAATATAAAATAAAAACATTTTTAAACATTTGAAGCTCCTAGCATCTTGATTCTTTTCCCATAAGACATCTACAGAATAAGCTGATTTTTGAACATGTCTTCTATAAAAAGCATTTTATATTCTAATTGTGAGTTAAAATTGTTAACATGAATAGTGACATTTATTGAACCCTATATGGATCCTAAAAGAATAATTCAGCTTTATTACATCCAAAGGTTAGCATTCTACCCAAGTTTATTCTCCCTTAAATAATCCTCATCACCATATTTTATCACTGAAGTATTTAAGCAGTTTTATTGAGGAATGATGGGATTTCTTATAGGGACTCCCTTCAAGGTTGTTAAAAACAAACAAAAAAACAACCAGAAAACATTCAAATAACTCTCTTCATTTAAATCTCCAGTCTATTACCACAGTGTTTCTTTAACAGATAAAATTTAATTTAACTTGGTATTAAGGATATACTAATCTCAAAGTAAACTTAACACAGGCTGCACAGATGTGTCTACTTTTGGAAATAAGAGTTATCCAATATTACAAATACCTCTTGAAAATTTAATAGACATAAAATTATTAATGACATTATCAATCTATTTTTTTTTTTTTGAGACAGGATCTTACTCTGTCACCCAGGCTTGAGTGCAATGGCACAATCATGGCTCACTGCATACTGAAACTCCTGGGCTCAAGCAATTCTCCTACCTCAGCCTCCCAAGTTGCTGGGACTACAGGCATGTGCTGCCACACCTGGCTAATTTATTATTTTTTGTAGAGATGATGTCTATGTTGCCCAGGTTGGTCTTGAATTCCTGGGCTCAAGCGATCCTCTTACCTCGGCCTCCCAAAGTATTGGGATTACAGGCGTGAGCTGCCGTGCCTGGCCGGCTTTTTAAAATCCAAAAAGATGGGATTTTCTACAGCTTTGCTTCTCAAAACTTTAAGACAGTTTGCTTTGGAGGAGTGGGTCTAACAATTTAGGCTACAATTCCTTTTACAATGATCTCTGGTATTCTCAAAGTTGGTAACAGTTGGTAACAACATGTCATATAGGCTTTAGGCCTAGTTTTTTAATGAAGACATTTCTTTTTAGTTATTTCCATGTTATTTGGGAAAGCTATAAATCAGAAAGTATTATGATACATTAAGGCAAATATGATTTTATAAATGTAAAATGTGTTTTGTGAATTTCATATATAGCTGACATACTTCTACATTCTTGCAAGTTCATGAAATTTACATTTATTAATATGTAAGGTTAATTTGTTTTAATTCAGGGGAATCTACATTGATAGTAATACAGTGCAGCACAGTGTCTAAGAGCAAGAACTCTGGGGCCCTGAGTTGGTTCACACTAGGGCTTGCTTTGAGGAAGATTTTTCAATCCTGCTGAGCCTAGTTTCCTCATTTTCCAAGTGGGAGTCATACCAGGACTGAGATTGTATCCTATCTAAGCATAGTGCCTGACAAGTGTTCTCAGCTACTTCTCAGCACTGCTCCCCACCCTGCACTATGTATTGTGTGACACAGCCTTCTTTTTATACAAGAGCAGCTGAGTACCTAGATTCAGGGAATTTCAGTTAGACTGAATGGAGCTGTTTTCATCCATTTCCTATTATGTTTTGGTTTATTTAGTTTTTTGTTTGTTTGTTTTGAGACAGAGTCTTGCTCTGTCGCCCAGGCTGGAGAGCAGTTGATGCAGGATTTTTCTCAACCCCTTTGTCAGACTTGTGACAGAGGGGCCCTGTTTACTTAGCCACTGTGCTCAGGTGCTTGCGGGAGGGAGCACATGAATGAGCAATTGCAGGATCCATGCGGTGGCACCCAGGTAGGGGTGTCTGCGATTTCGAAGTCCCTTAGGGTGTGTGTTAGAGTGCTCTCTTAGTTCTGCCTTCCATGGACAGCGGTGTGTTATCAGCTCAGTTGGCCCCTTGCCTCATCATGTGGGGTAGCTGCCCTCCGCCAGTAAGGGCAAAGGGCCAGTGTTAACAGCCTTATTTTGGGTACCCACACTTGGTGTGTCCCGAGCTCTTGTCCAGTGTTCAAGAAGAATGAGGTTACCTGGACACTTGAAGGATGGTGAAGGCAGAGAGTTTTATTAGGTGATGCAAATGGCTTTCAGCAGAGAGGGGATCTGGAGTGGAGGTGGGACAGGCAGGTAATCTTCCCCTGAAGTCCGGCTGTCTCTTCCCTGAAGTTAAGCCATCTCTCCTCCAAAGTCCAGTCATCCCTTTGAAGTCAAGTTGCCTCTCTCCCCTCTACCACCTGAGTCTGGAGTCTTTAAAGACACAACATGGGAGGAGTGGGCAGGGTGGGCTGTGGGTAGTTTTGGAAAAGGCAACAATTGATTGGTAAAAAGACATTATTTAGAAAGAACTAATTGGGCCGGGCGTGGTGGCTTATGTCTGTAATCCCACCACTTTGGGAGGCTGAAACGGGCAGATCGCGAGGTCAGATCAAGACCATCCTGACCAACATGGTGAAACCCCATCTCTACTAAAAGTACAAAAAAATTAACTGAGTGTGGTGGTGCGCACCTGTAGTCCCAGCTACTTGGGAGGCTGAGGCAGTAGAATCGCTTGAACCCGGGAGGCAGAGGTTTCAGTGAGCTGAGATTGTGCCACTGCACTCCAGCCTGGCAACAGAGTGAGACTCCGTCTCAAAAAAAGAAAGAAAGAAAGAAAGAAAGAAAGAAAGAACCAATTGGGAGACAGTGGGCTAACAGGAATAGAAGTTCTCACTTTGGCCTGTGGGTTTCAGGCTTTTCAGTTCAGAGGTTGGGTTTCACTGGGGACCCGCCCCGTCTGCCTAGAATTTCTCTGCCTCCTGCCTCTATCACAGTGGCGCGATCTTGACTCACTGCAATCTCTGCTGCCTGGGTTCAAGCGATTCTCATGCCTCAGCCTCTTGAGTAGCTGGGATTACAGGCATGAGCCACCATGCCTGGCTATGTTTTATGTATTAATAGTTTTTAGTCTTATGTAGTACCTTTTATACTATCCTGATAGTACAACCAGTGTTTCTATTTTGTAGGGATGACATTTTAACTATTTAAAAATGTTAAAATATTTTTTAAAACTACCAAAATACTATTTGACTAAAACGACTAAAGAAAAGTAATGATATATAACAGTCTGTCACTTTCCGAATATAAAGTGTCTAATTTATTACTTGGTTATCTCACATTACAGACAATGTGCCCCGTGTGTCTGGATCGTCTGAAGAATATGATTTTCCTCTGTGGTCACGGAACCTGTCAGCTCTGTGGAGACCGCATGAGTGAATGTCCTATCTGTCGCAAGGCTATTGAACGAAGGATTCTTTTGTATTAACTAAGACACATGGTGTATTTTGTTAGCTAATGTATCAAGTCATGAGAGCTTAGTAGGCTTTTGATCTAGTTGGAAGTTCTGATGAGTTAATTTCTAATATCATAGTTTAATTAGGCGGTAATTAAACTAGATTATAAGTTTAATTAGAGTATAATTAGGCTGTAAAGGTACCAGAACAAACAACCCTACAAAACGGTGTTGGAAATTGTGTTTTTTGTTTTTGTTTTAAATTTGAAAAATCAAATTCACGTAACTCATAGGTAATTTACCTTTGGCTTCTAAGAGGAAAGTCCTTTAAGGATATCCTTTTTTTAAAAATTGCATTTTTCTCTTATAATTTATAAATCTGTTAGATCTCAAAAGACATAATTCTTTGTGATCAGTTATCCTTCATTTCATCATGGTTTTACACAGTGAGTTGATACAGGTTCTCTGAAAAGTCATGCATCAAATAAAAGGGGCAGGTCAAACCATTATGTCACATGGTAAATTATAAAATGACAGTACAAGTTCCAGATAGTTAAGGGAATACTGAAGGGATGATTCTCTTTTTAAGATAACAGGAAGTTATCCACATGTTTCTTTCTGAATTCTTAGAGTAAATGGAAGCATAGAATGAGGGAATAATGACTTTGCATTTATCTTATTTTCTAGATTCAAAAGGAACATTAACTTGAATCAGATTACCAGTTTCAAGATGACTGATAGACAAGAAAAGGAAAAATAAGCAATAATAGTGGGCAACTGAAAAGAAAAAAAAACAGGAGTATCTATTAACTGGCCACTAGCAGTTGCCTTTCCTATATTAATTCATACACTATTTTGTTCAGCCAGTGTTTTTTAAAAAATCCATGAAAAGCGTACTTCAGGTTTTCTGTGATTACTCATCTGGGCTTGAGCTTGATCTGAGCAGTGAAATGACATTGCCCTATTTGGACCTCTGAGGTTCTATTTAGCTTTGCTGATGTACTGAATAGTACCCCAGTGATCTGCAAAAAATAATGCCTTTTCCAAAGGCAGCAGTCTTTTCTTCTTTGTATCAGTTAATTCTGACAGTGTTACTGATTCTGTCTTCATTATAGGCCTTATTTCCATTATCTCTTTCTTTATAGTAAGTTTTACTGTAAAGAAAACAGTCTTTCTATGTATACCTACAGATGAGGATATTATTTAAACTGCCAACAATATCCAAGACATGGTCAATAACCTAATTATAAGTACTTTAGAAAGAGTGACCAGGACATTTATAGAAATGTCTGCTTACCGGTAGACTTTAAAAACAACAACAACAACAACAAACTTTAGCGCATTTAATCATTTTTTTTTTTTCTCCTTTGAATGATCTCCTTTGTAGTCTTATTGTCTCCTGAGTAAATGTACACATAAATAAGTGTTTGGGCGTTCATTGCTGCTAGACTATATCAGCTGTTTACATAGTGTCTACTATATGCTGTTGATAAGCTTTTTCCTAAAAATAGTTATCCTCTTTTGTAGTTTTTTTTCCCTCCTTTAAATCTGGCTAGCTTTTCTTACTTCAGTTTTTGTAGAACACCAACTAAATTTGAAAGTATGAAGTCTCTAGCCCTCATAACACTGTTTCTGGCTGTTTAATCATTGCTGCCTTTGCAAGTCCTGGTGAAAGCAATGGGAAGCTTTGCTTGCTGGTTTTGTAGTCTCAACAATTCCATGTCTATGTTTAGCTGAGTAACTGCTATCATTTAGAACAGTACAATTTGTATAGATTTCAAATTTGAAAATTTAAATAGACTCAGTTATCTAATAAGGGGCCACTGAGCCTGTTTTTAAAAAAACTATTTTGAAGTTATAAAAAGGTAGAACATCTGACTGATGATGTTCACATAAAGAGACAGACAGACAATCTCCTTGCAGACATGAAAACAGCATGTTAGGTTTTTCCTTTCCTTCCATGCCATGGGCTACCCATCTCTTTCCACTAGATCACCTGGTGAGGAGGGAGCACCTGGCTGACTCCTGCAGAGTTGGCCAATCAGAGAATTGTGTGGTCCCTAGCTCTACTTTCCTTAAACAAATCCTTTCTGTTTTCTGGCCGCAATGGTAAAACAGATCTCTCAAAGGTAATAGCATCTTCCAGACTAGTTTAATTATTTCTTTATAAGAATATGACATACATTTTTATTATAGAAATAATGTCGTTATAATTTTAGTGCTAGTACTTGTGGATTTTCTGTATTCGTATCACCTTGAAATTTGTTGCGTGAATAGAAAATACTTCTTTATTCATGTTTTCAATCACCTAAAAATTATTTTACATTTATTTTGGGTTTGTGAGAGATAATAAGATTAAGAACTTCATCATTTCAGTGACTTTCCTCCAACTCTCTGAATCTGCTACCTCTTATTATATGTCCCTTAGCAGTACTTTTCCAGTTAGGTTTGTTACCCTCCTCATTAGCTAAACCTCTTTATCTTGTGCCTCAAAAGAGCTTTTACTTTTCTTAGAATCATTTAAAAAAAAAAAGAAAAAAACTGACACGCATTCATGCAAAAAAGTATTTATTGGGCTTCAGGGATTAGATACATAACAGTGGAAAAATGGCATCTTAGCACACTCAGAATTTATTGTGCAGCAGTTGTGTATTTTAAGGAATCTGTAGTTAAAAGGAAGAGATCCAAAGGTCCTGATAACATTTCCTGATGTTTCAGAAGAGTTGTCAATGAGTAGTGTCTGAATTTCCTCTCTGTACCCCTCACCCTGCCATTTTCTCCTTTATTCTTCTAAGATTGTTAGCGTTGTTACTCAAAACATACACATACAATATACCGGATGGTGCTATTCTAATGGTATTTGTTCACATAACCTAACATTCTTACTGCTTATACTATATACATATTTAATTTTGTTGGGAGCAAGAAGGTTTTCAAGAAAAGATAATTTTGTATTAGTGTAGGAATATATTAGACAAATGTTTAGCTGGCCAAATTATGCATAAGATATTTGTAACTTTAAACATTGCTAATTGACCAGCTAGCTATGGAAGCATAAAATTAATTGATAATTCATGTTGGAAATACATTTCTTAAATTTATATTTTTATGGCTTTAGCCCGTAAGAGCATTTTAGCATATTGAAATGCATGCTGCTTAAGATGTGTCTGGTTCAAATATGAAAGCTTGCTGAGTCATTTTTACATAGCAGAAACATACTGTCTATGTGTTGCCCAATTGCTGTTTGTCTATTCTGAATTCTGGACCGTTTTTGGACTAGGAATTAGTTAAATTCATGAACTAAGAGAATTAAAGATGGGGTAGAGTAGGATCAGTACAGTGGGGTTACAACAGATAGGAAAGTCAGCATTTGAGTGTAGAGAAGAAAAGAGGATCATATAGATGTCATCTATAGGCTTTAATACAGCTTGCTTTTTTTTAAATCCAAAAGGAAAAGCACTTATCCTATCAAAATGTCTACCATGTTTTATAGTAATAATTTGTGTAAAAAATCGAATTTTTGAATAGTTTTTTTTGTATTTTTTGTGATGAAAAACTCATAACATAAAATTTACCATATTAACTGTTTGTAAAGTATACAGTTCAGCCATGTTAAGTATATTTACATTGTTGTGAAACATCTCCAGAACTTTTTCATCTTGCAAAACTGAAACTCCATACCCATTAAACAACTCCCCTTTTTGTCTTCTCCTCAGTGGAGTAGAATTTTGACTCCATATAAATCAAGAAACATCTAAATTCTTTAGTTGTTTGTGTTTGCAATATCTAAGATCATGGTAAACATTAAGTTCTTAAAATTTTTGGGAGGGCCAATGTACCTCTCCTCTGAATTGTTAGCAATTAAATTGAGTAGGTTTTAAATATCTGTTAATTGGAAGGGTTTGTTATTTCATTTTGAGCCAGAGGGGAGAGGCACATTTTAAATATCAGAATTAGATTAACTTTGAGTTTGTACTAAATTGGGAACATAATAGATTTTCATAAATTATGTGTGCCTTGTTGGAAATGTCCACTGTCTTTATGTCTGCTTGTAAAAGTTTCAAAATATGTTTTCCCTCAAAAAGGCAACGTTACTTCATTTGCTTGATTATGATAGGAATGCTTACTGATATTACTTGATAGTCATATATAGCCTAGGAACTTTAACATATATATAACTATAGCAGTATTAATAATGATAGTTGTACTTCTTTAAAACATTAAATTTGAGGAAACTTTAATGCTGTCTCGTGTACATTGCTTTACTACAGTGAGGGGGAATATCCTTTAGATTGAACCTCAATTTACTGGTTAGTAGTATGTGAAACTCTGGTATAAAAACGTGAACTAGACAGTAGAGCCGATGAATTAAAATTGTAAGTTGCTACATTGGCATTTTCTACCTCCTTTTCTGTCCGAGTATTACTTTTTCCAGCATTTATTCTTATTTGTGAGGAAAGAGGAAATGGGAACCTGAAGTTAAAATTGACGTTTTTGTTTCATTGAGAATTTAAGCAGTAGGTATAGGAGAATTGACTTGTCACATTAATTTGGTGCCTAAATCCGTAACTGCAAGTTATAATTGACAAGTACAAAATGTCTAAGAAAGGTAATATGGTGATTATTTTACTTTTCCTGTATAGTCTGCATGATTTGTTTCATAAACCCAGCTTATTTCCTCCAAAAAGCAAAATGGTCCTGTAATTTTTAAAATAAAATAAACATGCCGTTTTGTCTGTAATCTATAATTTCAGGAAGTTATTGAAAGTTCTGACTCAGGGCTTTTTAACAGTTCAAGCAGTTGTCAGTTATATTTTGGAAGCTCCATCTGTGTAATTCTTCAGTGCCTTGAAAGAATTATTAACTTGGCAACACTATTAAAACTTTATAAAAGATGGTCTTTAGTGCATGTGTATCATTATATACACGTTTTAAAGTCATATTGCTTAGCTTGTTGTTAATGATTCTGCATGTGTGCTGGGTTTGGGTAATTCTTTAAAGGAAGTTTTCTAGATTTGCAATTGATGTTTGCTTTTTAAAAACTGATTATTTATGGCCATGACACTGTTACCAGAAAAGTAATTCTAATTAA